GCTCCGCTCAGAATCTAAAAAAAATAAAGCAAGCAATCAAAAAACACAAATAACTACATAAAAGTATCCGGTAGCTACAAAATAAATATAAAATAATTAAATAAACAATAAATATAATTTATAAACGGTGATAACTATTTCATACACTTTGCTACCTATATATTATACTGTTTAAAATCGTTATATTTTTATATATATGCATATATATTAAGAAGCACTCACATTTGTTGTGTAGTTTGTCTCTTGCAAGGTATTTATTTTTTTTAGGGATTAAGGTATTGTGTATATTTTATTCAAAACGGGTTCTTTCAAATCCGCGTTGTCACTTCATATTGTTGGAATATTCATTCATATTTTATTCTTTTTTTTTTTAAACCATACCATAGTTTTCTATTTACCTAAAATAGTAATTATATTTATTTTGTAGGCTGRCTTCATTGTTCATTATATACGTAGAACCTAGTCAAAGTATTGATGTACTATTACGACTAATATTTTGTATTTTATTCTAGGTACTACTATTGACAAGTTATCTAAGTTGTGTATTTTTGGCTTTAAAATTAAAATACATTCGGTGTCCTGCACTTGTAATGTGTTGGTACACGCATAATTATCGCTTCGTTTACTATTACATTTACCTACTCTAAAACAGTGAAGTTTAAATTAAATTTTAGACATGTCGATTCCAAAAAAAAATTTTGTTCTTATAATTATAACTACGCACTTCCCCTCTCCAGGGACTTCCCCTTAACAGGGGAAACAAGCATATCGTAAGTAAARCGTCATTATATAATGCCTCCCACAAATTCCCGTAACAACCCGTCATCGTTCAAAACAACTGCAAACAAACATAAAGATGAACCTTGCCCTAACAGATTAGATACTGGTCATAACACAATTGCTAGAGTACCCACAGTTAAAATTATAAAAGAAAAAAAATTATCAATAGATTGATGCTAATTGGCACTTAGTCACTTCRCCTACTAAACKTATAAACTCTCCTGGAACGACACCAAATCCAAAAATATCGAACAATCAAAATATATTTTCTACTCCAAACCGTTACAGTTCTTTAAGCGTCGAAGATAACACGAAKAATTTAAACAATATCGATACAGAAATGGAAAACGATGATATTATTATCAAATCACCTCCACCCATATTTATAAAATCAATTATAAATAATTATAAAATATTCTGCGAAGCAATTAAAAGCCTTCATACTCCTCCCATTGAATTCTCATGCAAAACTACGTCAAATAGCCTAAAACTTACCTAACCCAAACTCGTATAGAACGGTAATCAGATACCTCAAAGAAAAAAATGTAAACTTTTATACATATAAAATCCATGAGGACAAACCTTACCGTATACCTTATACCTTATAGTTTTAAGAAATCTTCACCCCTCAACTTCAATCGAATATATCAAAGAAGAATTAGGCAACTGTGGTTTCTTAGCTAGGAACATAACTAATGTTCTTCATTATCAATCAAAAACCCCCTTACCTCTATTCTTTGTAGACCTCGAACCAGCTATCAACAACAAAGGCATCTTTGAACTAAAATTCCTCTGTTACACTAATATCAATGTAGAAGCTCTTAAAATAAAAAACAAATTCCTCAATATATGAACTGCCGAGACTACGGTCATACGCGCCATTACTGCAATAACATACCCCGTTGCGTTCGTTGTGGCGATCAACATTCCTCAGCCACCTGCACAAAAAGCAAGGATCTTCCAGCAAAATGTGCGCTCTGTTTTGGCGACCACCCATCAAACTATAKAGGTTGCCCATCACTCAAAATCATTCAAAATCACAGAAACCGTCACTCTTCTCAAGCAAATAAAAATCTTCTCAACAGAAACACCAGATACCAAGAAAATAATAATATTGTATAATCCCACCCTAATCATAACATTACCTCAGAAAACACCCTCTCCTAACCTGTCTTACGCTCAAGCAACTCAAAACAAAAACACAAATACACCAAAAAACAAACCCCATTTAGATACTGCAACTCAACTAACTGATCGACTTACGTCATTTATAAACGAACTACGACCACTAATTACTCCTCTTATATCACTTCTTACAAAAGTAATTGACAGAGTCCTAGATAAAAATTGATTTTAAACTCAACCAATCATTCCTCCTTATCAATATTCCTTTGGAATTCCAATGGATTAAAACAGYATAGTAACGAACTTTTATACCTTATCCACAATAAAAATATTGATATATAGGCATATAGCCCTCATTGCTGAGACGCATCTATCAAAATCTGCAATCATAAATTTCAATGGCTATACAACTATTAGAGCTGACCATCCCGACGGCACATCTCATGAGGGTTCTGGGTTCTAATAAAATCCTCACTTTTTTATAATCAACTGCAAAATATCAATAAATCGTACCTACAAGCAACGAATATCAAAAAAAGAATAAATCATTTAAACGCTACAATCTCATCAGCTTATTTTCCTCCGGGCCAAAAAATCTCTGAACACAAATTGCAATCTTTTTTTCAAAGCCTTGGTAGCTCCTTTATAATAGGAGGTGATTTCAATGCAAAACATACCCAATGGGGTAGTAGATACACTAGCACAAGAGGTAGATTATTCTATACTTCAATACAAAAAAATAAACTGTCCTTTATTTCCCCGGACGACCCGACTTATTGGCCAACTCATGAAAACAGATAACCCGATATCCTCGATTTTTTCATAACACAAATCCCAACTGGTTTAAAATACCAATTAAAAAACCTAAATGACCTATCTAGTGACCACTCTCCCTTACAATTAACCTTATGTGGCCGTGTCCCGTATCCTCTGACAGACAGCCCCTTGCATCAGGACCCCTTGATTGGAAACTATTTCAACAAAAATTAGACGAGTTACAGTCTCTCAATTTCCCACTAAAATATCCTCTATATATAGATAATGCAATCTCCACATTAACCAAGTCGATCCAAAATGCAGTATTAAACACCAGCTCCCACACCTCCAACAATATTCAACCAAAACATCATACTTCACTTCCACCATTCTTAGTAAATCTTATAAAAGCTAAACGTCAGGCTAGATCATTATGGCAAAGAAMAAAATATCCTAGTCACAAAACTATTTATAACCATCTCATAACCGATTTAAAAACTCAATTATCAAAATTCAGATTAGAACAATTTAGTAAATATTTAATTACTCTGACTCCCAAAAATGGCTCCCTCTGGAAAACAACCAAAAGACTAATTAATCACCGTGATAACATACCTCCACTCGAACCACCTGATAAATCATTAGCTATTTCTGACTTAGAGAAAGCAAATCTTTTCGGCAATCACTTGTCCTCCATATTCTCTCCTAGTCTCCTCACCCTGACCTAAATTCTACACCAGATCACAYCAATAAAGTAAATTCATTCTTGTCCTCCCCTTTGCCCATTTGTCTCTTTCCGCAAAACCGATTTCCCCTGCTGAAGTTGTTTCAGTAATTCAAAAGCTTCGGCCTAAAAAATCACCTGGACATGATCATATTACAAATAAAATAGCCAAAAGCCTAACAAAAAAGTCAATCCTGTTTCTTACTCACATCTATAATGYTATGCTTCTTTTATCTTACTTTCCTCCTACATGGAAGTATTCAATTACCATTATGATCTCTAAACCCAATAAGCCAAAGCACCTCACCAGTTCGCATTGTCCCATAAGTTTACTACCCACATTTGCAAAGCTCTTTGAAAAACTAATTATACGATAATAGACCAACAAAATATACTACCAAAATCACAATTTGGTTTTCGTCGCAAACACAACACAATCCACCAAATCCACAGAATCACAGACGAAATCTCAGCCTCCTTCGAGACCAAACAATACTGCCCCGGGGTATTCCTCGATATATCTCATATATCACTCTTAGACTTAACACCGGTGCCCTTTGGTACTTAACAAATGCAATCCTCCACAACGACTTAAAAATACCAACAGTAAATGAGCTTGCAAAAAGTCACTACAATAGTTTCCACTCAAAATTAAAAAATCACTCGAACCCCGTCATTAAAAATATGTCCTCTCTTACATTACCAACTCGCAGTCGATTAAAAAGAAACTGGGCTAGAGATCTCCTTAATTAGGGGGAAAAAAACAACATTTTCTGAGGTTCTGTTAATGAACCGTCTCCTCTTCACGTTATTCAT